GAGGTAGATATTATGGGGATGTAAAAATGTATAGTGATGTTATTGTAATATATCCTCCCATAGTCCTATTTCCCCTCCCCCTTGCAATGGCCTTGGTAGTCAGGGCTTTTGGGGAGGGCCGTCTTATGACCAGGAGGTGTGGCATAACAACACCTGACCTCCAGTCAAGATGTAAGAAAGGAATCTCCAGCAGTGGATGGCAAAACTTTGACAAAACTTTGGTGGGATCAAGCGTATAAAAGGCAGAGCATCCATTTTATAACTGAGCTGTTCTATGTAATGGTCATAGAGAGTCCCAGTGCTGCAAGTTTTCCTTATTCAGTCCTTTGTTCAGATTTAATAAACATTTAAATTTTTAAAAGTGAGGGTTGTTTCTCAGAAGTGCAATGGTTTGGGCCATTTTCTTGGTCTGGTTTCCTTAGCTTGGTTCCCATCTGAGTGCTCAGTTGGGGCACAGGCTGTAGGTGCTTGGTGCACTCCTGGAGTTACTCTTGGATCCCTTGAACAACAGGGTTTGGCCCACGAGGGGAATTTGTGCTGCTTTCTGACAGAGGAGAACTTCCCCAGCTATTTTGCTTTTGCTGTACGGAATGTTGGTTATTGCTCTGCCTAAATTCACAAACCAATATAGAGTGCTTGCATTGTGATGTCAGGGCATGGTTGCCATGTGGTCATGGTGACAGCAGAAGGTTGTCTTGGTGCACGGAAGGCCTCAGTGTCAGAGTAGCCCTAGGGCTCGCTCAGGGCAGGCACATCCTCCTGTTTGAGGCTTTTGTCAGTGGGAGCTGCCCACTGGCAAGAGCCTTGATTTTACAATGATTGAGAAAGTTGCTGCTGCAGCTATTGCAGTTTATGGCGTTTGTTATTCTGGCTATTACCTCACTAACCTGGCACGTAAGTAGAGGTTTTCCCTGCGTGTGCCCAAACCTGGATTTTGTATGTCTTCCTGCTCTTTCTTAGTGCCTGAGTTGTTTTGAAACAGAAAGAGCACCAGTGTGCCACTGGTTTGGTAAAGCTCCTGTCAAGGAGTTCAGCTACAAGGGGATTTCTGCAGCCACAGGGGCAGCATTTGCAAGGG